GATAAGCAATTTCAGATTGCTCATTTATTTTCATCTATGGCAATTACATTAGAACCTTAGATCAATACATTGCATGGAATCATTCTTTGCTTTTTAAATGTGTCAGAGCAGGTTTTGTGTTCGGGAACTGGATGTTCTGAACACCTGTGGACACAATAGCTTTAACATTTTTGTGAAAACCGATGAATTGTTGTTTCTGGAAATTCTGTGGACAAATAGATCAAGGTCCATAAAAAATAACACCACTATATACTGCTTTTCTTGATTTATAGTAACCTTTGTAATATGTCATAAAATCCTCTTGGTGGTTACTACTGTGTATACATATGCATGTATGTCTGAGTGTACATATGTGGGTCTCATAATCCCTAGCCCAAATATTACAGGAATTATCCAAAACACTGAGAAAGAGATATCATGTATACGTGTCAACCCTTATTTTGACATATGTTTATTTGGTCTTCATAGACCTGCCTTAATCTACTAAGTTCATATAAAAGATTTTAAGGCAGAAAACTATTTTTCATCCTATTCCTAACCCTGCAGAGAATATTCACATTTATCATTTGAGTGAACTTCAATTTGAACTTATTTTTAAAGAAATAATTATATATTTTAATTATATATTTATACTTATTCTATAGGCATGTTTCCTAATTAATTAGTTATTTTAAGTTAACATTAAATTTGGAAGTATTCCAGGGCTCTATAAAAAAGCTGCATAAATTTTTGGAAATATAATAATATCATCTTAATTTTCTTAATGATATAGAGACATATCACTATCAACTAAGATTTTTTCATCATAGGGTAAGATTATTCTTCTAATTTGTCATGAGAGTCTAACGAGGGAGTCACTGATATCTTGACACCCCAAGTAAAGGCCATGTTGTAATTCTTAGCTGAATATTTATAAGCTTAATTCTGTCTTCTGAGGATAGCTGATATTGCAAACCCAAGTTCAGTATTAGAAAAGTAGCCTTGTGGGAGTTCATTATTCACCTAGGCATTTGCAAATCTAGATTAATTTGGTCAGGAACTTGGAATGGAGGAATAAATAATAGCATTAACTCTTTCTAAGAACTGCAAATAAAACTAACCCATTAGGTTATTTACTATCATTTGTAAGTTGCACTTGGTTAGTTTAAAATTATGTATTATCTTAATACATGTCATTGATAACTATTAAGTTTTAGTTATTTGAAAATTGATTATGCTTCAAGGCTAGTAATGCTGGACAAAAGAGTTTAACTATAGTAAACCTAGCTATCTTGCATGTTGAGATTGAACACATGACATTTCTAAAGATACAAATGTATATAGAGAGAGGTAAAATGTCTGTAATATTTTTAAAAAATTTTTTTCTAAGAGAACAATTGCAGGGAGATTTCTGTATTTTTTCTATTTATTTATCTTTGTAATGTTTGATTAAGATTGTATTACCATAAAAATATTCCAATAACATTCTCTTTTAAATACTGTTTGCAGCCCCCATCTATGACTTATTTCTTTTTCTATTTAGAGTGAAATGGTACAACCTCATAAAATTCACAAAATAATAAAATTATATTCAAGATATATTTTTTGAATTAAACAAAGGGAAAAGCTGCTCCTCTACTGTTGCTTTCTAGAGAATCACAGTTGCTTTTAACTGCCTTGAGCCATAAGGTTGGGTTGGGATACTGTTTTAACTATCAAGGTTTACAAGTACAAATGTAATACTTAGCAAGTCATAGATATGGATATTGCATTTTTCAGTAATAAAATTGTAATTCTTTATAACAATTTTTTTTTCCTTTTTCAAGAGTTAATCACCTTTAGCAAAGTTACTCTCGGAAAGTCATATTTTATTTAAACTCAGCATTAAAAAGCTACTGTTTGGAAATGTATGGCATGACTTAATTTATGCCTTCTGTTTACTTTATTTCTAATTCTGAAACTACTTCAGTAATACATGTACTAAGCCAGTATCTTGAAAATCCTAAAGAGAAACAGTGAACCAATTTAACTTAAAATGAATACTGTAACAGATACCATTTTGTTCACTACACTTCAGATTAAAAAGTTTTGAACGTTCCATTCAGGCCAGTCACCATACTAACTACTTTAAATGAGTCCCCTCTGTAAATCCTCACAGCAACCCTATTAATTAGGGATAATATTTCCTCCTTTTAATTTGAGAATAAAGTTTAAAAAGACTTGCCCAATATTACCCAGATAATTTGTGTCAGAATTTAGGTCTGAACCTAACCAGCTCAAGTCCAATCCCTCATCTCAGTTAATAAGCTCTACTTCTTGCTCTAAATGGTGACAGATAACATGTCAGTCATCAAAATTAATTCATTCAGAATGAGTGGAAGAGGCACTAAGGTCCTTCCATTTTTTTTTTCCCTTTTTTACTTTTTTAAATTTTGTTGTCATTAATCTACAATTACATGAAGAACATTACGTTTACTAGGCTCTCCCCTTCACCAAGTCCCCCCCCACAAACCCCATTACAGTCACTGTATATCAGGTCCTTCCAGTTTTACCAATATTTGTTATTGTGTTTAAAAGATAGAGATTAGCATGAAGTTTGGCACATTTTAGGCCATCCTAGGAATTTACCATTCATATTCCAATTTAATGGTGTCCCTAGTCATTCTATGGCAAAAACGGCCACAAGTGTAACCCATTTCCATGGCTTGGATTGAACTTGGCACTGGACAGAACTTACACTGCACCAGTGGCCTTGACACAACTCTGAGGTGACATTTCTAGGGAAGAATGGAGGAATGAGACTAGGAGAGGTGTGCTCTGCACATTACATAGCTGCCTTCTGCTTTGCTACACAACAAATGTGGTTTCTGTATACTGTGGAAGATGGCTCTCCTGTGAGTTTCCATCTGCTCTCTACCTGAAGCCTTAGACTTTTGCATGGTATTTTCAATTAGGAAGAATTAGGAGGGATCCCTGTATTGACCTCTACACGCTCTTGAAATGATGCCTCATGATGCCATGGGGTTCCATTGCTCTAGAGAACACAAAGCCATTTTTATGATAATATTATAATAATTTCCAGTTGTAAGTCATCTTCTGCTTTAATAACACTCCATTAAGTGTTTAGTGACTAATAAAGGAAAAGCATCCTAAAAAATTTTCTTGGGAGAGTATATTTCCCCTAGTGAAAATATCTGTAAGATAATTTGTGAGTAAAATGAAGAACTTCATGGTACATTGTTTTTATTTAATTCCAAGTTGAAGTTCAAAATCTTGAAATGTATTCCAAATCATATGTGTTCATGTCTATGTGTGTGTGTGTGTCCCAGCAGCCTCTCACCCAAGGCCCTGAGTGCCAGGTGTGTCTGGAAGGGCAGCTCCATGCCTGACTGGTTCTCACCTGTGTGTGCCCACAGAGCTCACCTGTGTGTGCATCTGTGCACTCACTCCCTGGGGGTAGAGGGTGTCAGCTCAGTGCCTGCTTGGGGAGGCTGGGATGCGCTATCTCATGCCTGATTGTCCACTGGTCACTGCAGACATCCTGGGAGGCCTGTGGCCCATGGTTGTACCGTGGCAAGAACACCCTTTATTGTATCTCCAGGGTTACAATCTCTTAGATAGGGTCTGCTGAGAAAACAGGATACAGGGCTACTAGCTGACTGATCTTTTCCTTAAAGTGAATAAGGGGTAATTTGTCAGTAAAGTTTTCCTTTGGAGAGGGTAAAAGGGGCTGTTAATCTAGTTTTCATCCTTGGGATTATTGTTGCTATTTTCCTTCCCTATCATATTATATAAGCCAACGAGGTTTGACCCAGAGCTCAACATGCACCTAATGTATTTTTGAAGATCTAGCTTTTAGGAATGCCTTAACTAGTAAATCATTTGGAAAATAATTTCACTTAATAGAAGGCAAACATTGGACTGTGGTTTATAAACCCAGTTGTTTTTTTATTCCTCTATTGATTATCCTCTTCTTTCTATCTTCTCTCCTGAATAATAAATATTGGTTCCATAATTTTTTTCCTCTTGTTCTCACCTGGCCACCAAAATAAAACCTGACACTGGCCCTACTATGCCTGACCCTGAGACAGTGGTTTGTATCCTCTTGTATGTCCTCTAATCTAGCCCCCGTGGCACTGGTTCTTTTTCATTTCTTATGCTTTTGTATCTTTCAAAATGCTTTCTCTGCCTCCTGGTTTGTTAACCTACCTTTTTATTTATAGTCCCCTGTTACTCCAGAACTTTAAAAGTTATTTTCTTGAATTCAACTATTAAAAACCTTACTTCTATTGCCTTAGCCTGATGGAATGCATTGAGTTGGCATAGATGAGCTGAATAAGCTTGAGTACAAATCCTATGGACAAGGTATTTTGCACCAAAGAAGAACCTATGGCTAAAGAAATTTCCCGTGGGCTGGTAAGCTATTTGCAAGGCTCTTTTACATAGTGTTATCCTAAAAAGCCTTTCCTCTTTACTCAGTCCTGGAGAAAGATCTTGTTGAGCACAAAGTCAATTTTTCAGTAAGATGATAAAAGGAGGAAGAAATACTACACTGAGAGCACAAAGGGAGCAGAGGGTTTAGTTATGATTGCTGCCACTAACTAGACATATCAATCTCTCCTGCTGTGCTAACTAGAATTATTTTGAAGGCTGGGTCAGGACAGTTATGGTAGCAGAAAAGGACAGGAAGAGAATTTGAAGGTGTGTGTGGAGGCAGGCCTTGGGGTGTTACAGCATTTAAGTGTTCAGCTGCAGCTCAGGATGGACTGCTGTGAAATGTGTCTACATATTTGGGGTGGGGTGGATGTCATTCACTTGTTTTATCAGCAGTGTGAGAAAGGCAGTTAATCTACATATCCCCTTCTTCATTCTGCCTATAGACTCCAAGATATCTGCTGGTTTAACAACTGCCAAAAAAAGACCTTAAAACTGAAGTTTAATATGACAGAAAGCAAAGAGGCTGATTCCTTGCCCTATGAAGAAATACAATCCTAATTTATTCAAGAAGGAAGTCACCAGGATATTTCAGGCTTGGCTTTAATTTTCTTATCTGAAAATATCTTTGGGGCGTTCCAAAGAACATTCTGGAACTATCCTGTGGCAGAGGCATTTTATTTGTGGTTATAAATAAGTATAAATAGACATTAGACATTCCTATTTTCTATCAGGGGCAACTATACAAAGTCTATTAACCAGCAGACAAGATGTTGACTGTGTGTATCTGTGTATGTGGGTGTGTTTTGGGTGGGGGTGGGGTGCGTGCATGTGTGTCCAGATGGCCTTAGAAATGGGTGATCTTCTCCACCACCATATTGTTGGAGCTCTTGTCCTTGGAGTCACAGCCTGGAACAGGGACCAGGCTCTCTTGCCTGAGTCCATTCTGTAAGGCAGACTCAGCTCCTTGTTTCCAGGTACTGCCATTCTCAAGGTTTTCCTGAGGAAAATGGAAAGACCCCTATTAGTGGGCTAGTCTTGATGTAGTCCACATCACACCCAGGGAATCTTGCTTAGGCCTTCCCCCTTGAAAAGTGATAGGTAAACATGAAAGCAGCACAAAGAACTCTGACCCAACATACTTCCTACTTGGTAACTTTAACGACTCCATACACATAGGCACTATTTCTAATGCTAATAAAAACAGAAAGGGCAATTTGGTGGCATTTGCAATATATCTTGTGTGAAGAAATGCATCTGTCTTCCACTGAGCACAGCAGTCCTGTGAGGTACTAGCAGTTCCTCCTGAGAAGGATAGACCTGTGAGCAGCACAGCTTCCTCCTCCTAGTCCGGGACCCTGTAGGCAGTCTCCCTGGAAGGCTACCCAGTGTTAGTCTTTGCAAAGGAGCTTAAGAGTGACATACTCCATGCTTCCTCCCACTCTCAATTCAGCCTTGAGAACAGAGCTGCCTGCATCAACAGGATTTATCATTTATTCCAGAAAATTCTGGTCCCGGAAGAGAAGTGTTAAGTAGCAAATAACTTGATTGTTTCCTTTTTTTTGAGCTTCCTCCAGATCCATTTATCCAAACAGTACACTGCCTTCTCAGCAATAGAAATGCCTCCCCATTCTGAGCCCCTACCAAGAGAGTGCTCCCCTTACTGCATCACTATTAAACTCAGCTTTCCTTCATATTCATGGTATCGTGGTGTTTGGGAAGGAGAACAATAGACAGCCCAGGTGATGTGGTGTGGGTCCCATCTCTAGAGTACTACAGGGGTGAGATAGCTCCACTGAAACAATGACAATCAGCCCTAAAAAAAACAAGAAGGAAAATACGCTCCTGCCCTTAATCAGGCTGAGAGGCCAGACATGGATAAGACCAGCTACAAACTTAACAGGAAATACCACTTCTCCCGAGGTCCTGGAGTTGTCAAATGTCAGAGGACCTCTGAGAGGTGTTGCTCCCTCACCAGTGCTGCCCAGACAGCTTTGTCTTCATTCCCCTCCACCCGTAGACAACTTTCAGAATCTTTCAGCAGGAACCCAGACCTTACAAAAGACATGTCCATCTTCCCTCTTGTTAGGGTGACATTCCCTGCTTCCCCTGCAGTGCCCCTGCCCCGCTGTACCAGGTAAGTAAGTTCGGTTTGGCTCTTCCCGTGGTGTTTGGCTGACGTGACTGTAGTAGTACCTGGACGGTGACTCCAGATCTGCCTGACCTAAACATGCTGTCAGTGGGATAAGGAGATCTGGGGGATGTGTGTGTCCTGCTGCTTCTCTACCCAAGAAGTTCCCTCCAATCAGTCTTATTTTTATTTACCTTCTGTAGAACTAAAGATATTTGCATCCAAGTCACACTGCATGATGATCTTGCCCCAGCTCTGAGATAAAAGCTGAAGTTCGGGGAGGTTAAATAAATTACCCAAGGAAAGTAAAACAGAGAACCGGGATTAAACACAGGGTTTAATCTAAACTCTAAAGCCTGTGCTTTTACACCATGATACTAGACTAAGCCCCTTATTTTTTTGTTTTTCTATTATTTATTCTTATATTTCTCCTAGAATTCACCCACAAAGGGGTTAAATGAATTTTGGAAATTGATCACTTGCAATGCCAACAATTCAGACCAAAGATACATTTACCAATCAACATAGTTACATACTGAAAAGCTAATGACCTGAACTAACTCAAGTCGGAACCCAGGTTCTTTCAGATTGTAACATTCACTACCTTTCTGCCCTCCACCCACCCTTGTAGATGATTTAAATGAGAAAAAAGGATTCCCTTGAGCCAGTGCACATTTTTCAGAAGCTTCGACATGGGCTCACCTGCTCTGTCCCACTTTCATGCTGAACTCCACACCAGCACAGTCTTTTGTATTTCTTAGACCAAAAGCAAAATAAATTGCAAACTGGTCTAATTAGAAGTGGTTGAATATCTTTGCCTCTTTGATGACCTGTTAACGAAAGGACAGATGGATTAGGTGGTTGCATGCTTCCAGGACTTATTTAAGGATTTACATGTTGCCAGCTTGAAGTAGGTCACTTCTAAGTGTAAGGGTGGAAACTGGCCTGACTAGTAACTGCTATTAGATTGATAACTGCTCTTCTGTAGACAGAAGTTGGTAACTGTTCAAAGTGGGTGAATTAGTTTTGAGCATACAAACCATTAAGTCAAGCAAGCTCACAGCTATAGAGTTAAGCAGAGACACCATATTTACTTTTTAATATTGATTACGGAAAATTCTACTAGTACTCTTTGTATGCCAGCAAAGGGGACAGTAGCAATCATATTATTGTTCCTTTAAGAAAGCTTCTGGTTTTCCATCAAAGCAGATATATTTAGAAGTCCTCAGTCAATATTTGTAAAATTAGAAAGATTATTTCCATTGTTCCTTCTTCCTTCCACCCCAGCATGCTGAGCAAGCAATACCCTCTTGTTCCCTCTAACTATTCTGGAATTTCCTGACACCACCTTCCCTATCATTAACACATACCTGTTCAGTACCCCATTCCTTCCAATTCTGCTGTGGAATAAGAGTCACATTGATATTCAAATCAAGATTTAAAGACTGACAATTGCCCCCTCCCACAACCTTCGCAAATTTTTGTATCATGATAACTGTTAACAAATACCTACTCTCATTCAATGACAGCCATTAATTTGTTCACCAGTTAAGCCTAAAGGTTCCTAGGTGGAGTAGAGGAGTAGTGTTTATACAGATTGATCACAGTCGTCCTATAAACCAGACACTGTGCCTGTCCACAAGTTTTTTCTCAAAAATTTTTTCAGTAGATTTCTAAAATTCCAAATTGAGGTTTAAATGATCTATTCTTTGGCATTATATCACTGACAAAAGACGTTCAACCAAAGAGAATTCTACTACTATTAATGATAATATTTGTCGATTAGTAAGTGTCTCTATGTACTAGGCATATTTTACATAGATCGTATCTAATCCCTGTAAAATAGGTATTGTTATTCTCATTTCTTAAATGAGGAAAAATAAACTTTTCTAAGGTTTTGTAAATGATGAAGCAAATTAAACGGCATACATGATCTTAAATCCTATAAACATGTATGATCTTAAAGCCTCCACTTGCCTTGTGTGGGTGGTGGAGGAAGAGTCACATAACCTCAAACTTCTACCCAAAGGCAACTCTGAGTAAGAATTTAATCCTGAACCAAACCATCCCCAAGGTTTCAAACAGGGAAGACGTTTGTCTCTTAAAGGATCACGAAAGTATCAAACACTCCAATAAATAATGTAGATCTGTATGTAGGCGGAAGCTGAGCCTTGCTAATATGAAAGAGTTCTTTGCTTCAAATAGATTTAGACTTGGTTCCCTTCTGGACACAAATTGCCTTTAGGAGGTAGTAGACAGTGAGAAGTCAAAGTTTAACCTGTAGTTCTTATGGGAAAGAAGGTTAAAAATGAAAATGTAATTCAAATTAGAAGCTCTGTATGCCCCCAAACAAGGTGTGATCATCTCTTTATTAAAGAAAACCTTGGAGATCAGGCATCAGTGGACATCAACCTCTCCTGATTGAAACCAGGTTTGTCAACAGAGATTATTGGACTAAGAGGGCATATTTTGTGAAAAAAGAGAAGGTCAAAGGGGATAAAACCATTTCCTATAATGAATGGAAAAAAGGAAAAAAGAGGTTAAGGCTTAAAGAGTAAATGGCACTAGTTGTACTACAACTTTGGGTGAATTTGAAAAAGGATCTCTGTTGAATAGGTTGCTGAAAGCTGGTGAGGTACTTTAGGGGAAACTCCAGTCTTTTCATGAGAAGAAGGGGAAAAGATCCACATAGTTAACCTTCTTTACTGATTGTCATATTACAAAGGATTTTTCACACTTGGGCCTCCAGGGCCTATGTGTCAAAAAATATTTTTTTCCCACAACATATGGGGGATATTTAAAAAAATATGCTATATATATATAAAATCAGGGGGATGCTTTTGTGGTCAGCTTGGAGAGAGTAGACATACCTGTCTGGGAAGAAGGGCTTTCTATGGTGGACCCCGAATCATACCAGTAAGGCAACCCCTAGTCCACCAGTGCATGAGATGAGCCATATCTTCCTTGGCCCCAAAGAAAGGAAGGAACCAACCTGTCACGAAGCTGATGATTATTCCTGCAACCATGCACCCTAGGCAGCCTATTGCACTGTAGTAAAGGTAGGAGATCGAATACCAGGTGTCAGCAATTGCAGGTCTGTGGAGGACAGCAGCACATGTCACTAGTTCCATGACTTCTGAAGTTACAATCCACAGCGACTTAGGGACAGCAGAGGGCTCATTTTAGGGCCTGGCATCTCCCCAAATTCCAAAGCTTACCTTTTTGCCATTTGGTTATTTAAGATTCAGTTGTAGAATACTTAGTGCTCTGCATTCCTCTTAATCCAACCCATCCTGGAATTACGAATATTGCAATGGATGTACTGAATTATAAGACATGCAATGAGGACTGTGCCTGTCATTTCTTTTGTATTATTTATTCTTCAGACATTACCAGGCTAAGATTTAGTTTCAGGAATTGTGACAGATATTGCAGATAAAAAGGTGAATAAGCCACAAAGCGGGGGTTAGTGCCTAGGTGGAATTGGAACAAAGGATTCTAGGAGCATTTAAACCAAGTATCAAACCCAGGCTCATGCATCAGATGATTGTCAAGCTCATTTAAAAAAATGATTCATAGTTCTTCAAGCAAAGAAGGCTGTCAGGGCTAGGATTTAGCATTCCAAGAAAAGAGGGTAGGATTAACACAGGCAGAAAGGAAAAAACAGCATGGTGGACTGCCATCCATGAAGAGGTTCATATTGTTTGCCCTTAAGATTTGTGGGAAGGAATGGTTCTAACTAAATGAAACTCAAAGACAAATGTTAGGAAGATAATCACATGCTCATATACTAGATAGCCAGGACCACCTACTCAGGACCACCACAGTAGGTTCTCTACCTGCTATGCAGATATAAGAAACTAACAAACTAGCAAAATAGAGTGCCCTGGTTGTCTCTGTAAGAAAAGGAGGTGGAGAGAACTCTTCAATTCCTGGCATTTCAAACTTGTTTGAATCAGGAGTGATACAAGTAGAGTCCACATGCAGATCTCACTCGAGGGCACTTAGCACTTAGCTCCATTCCTAGTGGAGGGAGGCTTTTGTTACAATGTCACCAATGTCCTGTAATTCCAGTGCTGACTCTTAGCAAACAAAGCCCAAAGGCAGTTTACTCTATTTTACACCTTAGGGAAAACTGTCCATTTACAATTGACAGGTAATGAAAAATGTGACATGCAGATGATCGCATTCTTTCAGAGCTAGCCATCTCACATCCATGTGAGGGCTTGCTTTTATTTTTTAAATAGCTAGCCTGGGAAGATGATTCCCTTTCCATTTGAAAACACCCCCTCTTGCTTAGCACCATGTGAGAATACAAATGCAATTGTACTAGAGATTCCCTTTTCTAAGCCAACCATATCTGCTATACCTGGGGACCTCTTCCCTGGGCTCAGAATCAATACTGCAGATCTGTGTAGTATCCTCAGTAAAGAGAGGTCCTTTCTGCTTGCAAAGATGGGCTATAAATTGCAGGTAAAGATAAGTCCTGTTTTCTGGGGTGGCAAAAGGGAGTGGAAGAAACAAATATATTGGCTGCTTCTTTCATGAAGTTTTATATAAAGAGGGTACAGACAGTGTCTAGGCTGCCTTAGGAGACAGTGGTTTCTCATCTTGCTGGTCATTTTAAGCATGGGCTTCAAGATGTGAGTATTGTATAAATGTTTTAAGAATGGAAGTATCATTGGTTTAGTTAACTTATTAAGGTCTTTTAAAACCTTGAGAATCTTTGAAAACTGAGTCAAAAATTTTATGGAGGAATGGGACCCTAATCTAGCTCTTGAGTGAGGAACAGATGCCATCAGGAGGGTAGAAATAGATTAAAAGGCATTCCTTTAAAGGGAATAGGTTGGCTATTCCCAAAGGTGGGAAGAGTAGAATGTGCATAATGAAAATGTAATAGAATCTAGAATAGAAGAGGAGGAAGAGTGGGTGATAATATTGGAAACACAGGGTAGTTTCAAGCCTTGGAAGGTATTAAACCCAGGATAGTTTGTCCTTTTTCCTGTAGGCACGTGGATTATTGAAGTTACTTCAGTGTACCTTTTATGAGTCCACAAATGTGCTTCAGGAAAAGAAATCTAGTGACAGTTTGAATAGGATGGATTAACAGGGAAGAAAAAGGGAGAAATGAGGGAAACCAATAGTACAGACAGGATAATTTTGCTTTCCTGGATTTTGTAATAATGAGACCAGCCTCAGGAATGACAATGTAGATGGAGAGGATAGGACATGCCAGTCCCAGAGAGATCTACATAAATGTAATTTTCAAGATTTTCTGGTAATTTTTAAAGGACAAGACCCAGAGAAAATAGGCCATATACATGAAAGTATTGATAAGAACCAGAAAAGGGTTGTAGAATTGAGGTATTTTTCTGGATACAGTGACCACAAATCCTGCATTTCTTCAATTTGCCCCTACACACAATTAGAATATGAGAATGTGCATTAATTAAAGCCAGGTACAGTGAAATTAACTGTATGTATTCAATCCTGTTTCATCCTCTCAAAAAAACCCAGTAAAGTAAGTATTATTACCTTCATTTTTCATTCAAGGACTCTGAGAATTCAAGGATTGACAAATTACTAATTTAAGCAAAGACACAGTGAGCATAAATGGCCAAACCAAAATCTAAATCCAGATGTTTCTGATTTCAAAGGCCATGGTCTCCCCTGCATTCTATTGATTCCCTGTATTTTGATAATCAATTTACTTATCCCACTCAGTATGTCCATAATCATTCCCTTTGTTGCCTATTATACTCCAATCCTTTATTCTTTTAAGAACACCATGATCTTCCTACCCTATTTTCAAACCCTCTTACTTTTCCTGCTTGCACTCATACCTCTTATTAACCCATTTCCAGGTTCACTCTTGCACAGCAAATTCAGAGGAATGGATGTCTGCAGAGAGCAGCAGCCCTGCAGGGCACTCTCCAATGCAGGCACCACCAGGAGGGGGTCTCAAGGGAAAGCAAGACCTGTCTCATCAGACTGATCCCTAAAGAGTGCATCTTCCTCTCACCCGGTCGCCCACTCGGGGACTGAAGTCCATCTTTAAGGTCAGCATACCTGCTGGATAGCGCTGGAGGCACTGATTCTGTCACATTTGATGGGGCACACTGGTCTGTCGATAAAGGCAAGGGCCATGTCTTGGAGGCTGGTGCAGGATAAATGAAGGCCCCGATGGCTACCCAAAACGACAAGGTGATTCCAGTCAGAAGGCCTCCTAGGGCACCCTTGATGAAGGAAAAACAAACAAAAGGGAGTTGATGAGAGATTTGACAAAAGCTGTTTGCCAGAGAATGACCTGAGGAGGGCTGTTCTTCAGAGAGTTTGGCTGCTCACCCCAAACTGTGGCCACGTGTGCTGGGAACAGTCCCCTCAGACTTCCTTCCAGCCCCAACAACGCAACTGTATTGGGAGTAACTTCTTCAGTGAAAACTTTGGGGAGTTCTACTGTGCTCATTATATTTGGATTGCTAGAAGGGTTTTTTTTTTTCCTTTTGGCTTCTTCATCTCATCACTTAAAAATCTGTTGAGAGTTGTACAACATAACAACTGTAGTTTACCCCGCTCTCTGGTATACATGAAAGTTGTTAAGAGAATAAATCCTAAGTATTCTCATTACAAGAAAAAAAGCATTGTTTCTTTTTTCTTTTTGTATCTTTGTGAGATGATGGTTGACGATTAAACTTAATGCTGTACCCACTTCACAATATGTTAAGTCAAATTGTTGTGCTGTACTCCTTAACCTTATAGGGTGATATATTCTCAATAAAACTGGGAGGAAAAAATCTGTTGAAACTTCAGATCTCAGTAGAAGAGTTTCAGAAGTTTGGAAAAACCTCAGACAATGGAGATGGTGTGCTCATTTTTCAGGGACAGCTACTACAAGTTCTTATACATAAATTCTCACTCACATATCTCTTCCCAATTAATTCTGATGGAATCCTCAAATCACAAGTTTGAATATTTTTGTTTGAATCTAAATACTAATGTGTATTTACTAGTCCTGTCATTTAAGGGTTGTATTTCTTGATAAACAGTGGAAAGTCCATGAGTCATTTCTCCTGTAGGAGACAGAATAGGCTTGCAGAGAACAGACCCGCTGGAAAATAAAGTTGGATTGCCCTCCACAGGGTAGCTGGGCCTTCTCTGTGACAGAAAATAAGTTGGTGGTTTGTCTGTTTATTCAGGCGAAAGACTCCTCTATAACAGTGCCAGACAGTTTTGTTCATCATCTGGGGAAACTAAAACAATGCATATGATCTGAACACTTGTTGTCCACAATGTCTAGTAAATATTTTAGGCTTTGTGGACCATACGGTGTCTGTCACAATTACTCAGTTCTGCCACAATAGCACAAAAATAGACACAGACAATACATAAATAAAGGAGAGTGGCTGTATTCCAGTTAAACTATTTATGGACACTGAAATTTTATTTTCATATAATATTCATGTGTCAAGAAATACTGCTCTTTTAATTTCTTTCCCAACGTTTAAAAATGTCAAAACTATTTTAAGCTCCCAGGCCATACCCAAACTAGAGGTGGCTAGACTGGGCATCACGGATGTAGTTTGGCAGCCCCGGGCCTACCAGTAAAGGGTGAATGGATTTCAACAGAAGGATCAACCCTCGCTGATCTGTAGTAGTTGCCTAGAGGGCCATGCTGAGGATTCTGAGGTTCCATTCACATTCTGTGGAAAGACAGCCAGTGGAATCAGCCATGGCCTATGACAAGGGGGAGGTGACTCAAATTTGTCATATTTACCTTCCATTTAGAACAAGATGGTTTTCCTAAGTAGAAGGACGGTTATTCAGTAACATCAATGACAAACTGATTTTTGAAATGCACTAAGATGATTACCAATCACCTACAATAAAATGTTAAGTTCCTAGCTTATTAGAACTCTGGGTTTCCAGTCCTACAAGTTCCCTTATGTAGACAAGTGAATCATCAATGTCTCTCAACTCTCCCAGACTTAGCTCTCTGGACTTGAGCAACTTGGAAATGTATGCCTCACTGATGAAGGAAAATAATGTAGCTAATTGTTAGCTGTTTTTGTAGTTAGGATTTTGCTTTCCCTCATCAAGGGCATAACTATCCTCGTCAACCTCAAGAAAACTTAATTAAAAAAAGTGTCTCCTAAGAAGACTACAAAGGAAGTAATGTAAATTCCCAAATGTTCCCTATCTTTCTTTACCCAGCTCCTCAAGATTTATCTAGAAAGAGGCAAATAAGGGTCAGGAAGCCTAACTAGGTATACCTTGTGACTCAGGCTTTATCAAGCACTTTACAATATATTTAAAAATATACATAAAGTCTGCCTTTCTAGAGTCTAAAGATTTTCTAAAAGTAAATGCATGTAAGTGTATAGATGGGAATAAAGTAAAAATGGCAATTTTGCTAAGTTGGGACAATTATACATTAAATATTTTTTAAATGTTACCATGTTATTTTTCCAAATAAATGTCCATTTTGATTTATACTTAACTACACAGTCATCCTACCAAAACTTTCTTAAAGATATATTAGCTTGTCACTCAGTAAAACCAGTTAAATCCAGCTGTCAGAATATACCAGGTTTGTCTCCTCTCCCCTTCTTAAATCAATTAATCAACTTAATTAAATAAGCCATAATTTAGGTAACAAAATATAGGGGAAAAAATGAAATTTAAATTTTAAGCTATTTCTGAATTGAAATCTGTTTAAAATTTTATTTTGTGGGCCCTAAATTTGGAGAAGACAATTTAAACCCTGAAGAATTAGCTTTGATTCCATGACATCTGATACTTCATGACCCCCTCTTACTTTCATCACTTTCTGGTTCTAAAAAGGTTTCACTAAAGTTAGAGATAGGAGGGTTTAGGTTCTGTTTAGTTCTACCCTGGAAAAAAACCACCATTTTCTCTTCCTGACAAAGACAACTGGCCTTCCAAGGTGCTGTGAGAGTTGAGACAGGAGAGAGAAAATTGTTGGGGCTCAACCCATTAGCTGAGAATCATGAAGAGGGGTACACTGTGCTTACCTTCCAGTTCACAAAAGGGAATATGATTCCCAGAGAGAACAGGCCCAACATTGGTCCCCCGCACATGCCATGGATGCTGAGGGCAGCCTGCGGAGCAAAGCAGATCAGATAAACACCTCCACTCCCCTGAATCTATGACCCACCAGGGACCACCACTCTCTCTTGAATCTGGAGCCCTTCATACCTCAAATAAGCTTGAATTGCAAATATCTCTGGAAGAAAACAGTTCAGACATTCAAATTCTCACTGGATTGGGCATGATGATACTTCTTAAGAGTAAATAATGATTATATAGAAGGGGGAAAGAAATGTGCTATAAGGCATCTGAAGCAACTTGGAAATGTATGCCACACTAATGAAGGAAAATAAACCAAAAGAGATGCTGCTGAGGTCACTACAGACAAACTCACCATCTGTCCAGTTCTGCTATGTGGATGGGTAGATACCAAAATGCTTCAAAAAGTGTAGAGATTATCATCTATAATAAAATGTTAAATTCCTAGCTTATTAGAACTCTGGGTTTCCAGTCCTACAAGTTCCCTTATGTAGACAAGTGAATCATCAATGTCTCTCAACTCTCCCAGACTTAGCTCCCTGAACTTAAAAATGGAAATAACAGAACCTATATAAGTAGTCATTAGAGGGATCAAGATACACCACTCTATAAAGCACAGCATATTCTACAAAAGTCTGTGATTACTATTCACTCACTCTTACTCATTTCTTCATGTAAGCAACATTTATTTTTCAAAAGCCTATGCCATGCCAAGAAAATCAAAACGGCATTGAAATTATGCAAAGATGAAAGGGGAATTGGGTGGTATGCAGTAGAATCGGAAGACTTGTTTATCTAATGCTGCTTTGTGAACTGAATAGCTTGGGTGTGGGGGGCTCAGGACACTTGGATCATAAACCTGACTGAACCACTTCCTAGCTGGGAGAACTTGAGCAGATATTTGCACTTTTTTTTGTAATCCTCTACAAATGAAGATGTAGAAAGAGATTATCATCTTTGAGGCTCCTTCTAGTGCTGACATTTTATGAAACTAGTGGATGGGCATATGAGCGGCAGTTCAGCCTGGATAACTGGTGGAAGTGGGCTCATGTCCCAGCTCCACCATTCCTTCATTACTTGACTTTGTGTCAGTTACTTCGTCTCTGCCTCTTAGTTTCTTCATCTGTAATATGTGTACATTAATCATGCTACTTAGAGGAAGTGACGAAGATTAAATGAGATGATACATGTGGGACTGTATCCAGAACATAAAAGTGTTCTGTTAATGTCAGTTGTTGTTAGTTTTGTTTTGTTTTGTTTGCTATTACAAGTGTCATTAGAACTTTTATTTCAGAATCATAAATTCTCAGATCTGGATTTTAAAAGAGTTTCTAATTTTATTACAGTTTCTAGTCTTATTACAAGTGACAATATACTTGTTACTGTACCCTATTACTAGCTTTGAATAGTTAGTAATTTTGGTTGAAATTTTACATGTATGTTTAATTAGAACCTGGTATCAAGGGCTCTCAGCATTCGGGACTTGAAGAGGCAAAACATTACAAAAGAAAGGGGTAAAAAGTGGCTTTGAAATCAAATGTGTCTTTTCCCTCTTTCTTTACCTGCACAACAGGCCCCAAGAGGGATGCAGCCACAGCCATGGAAGTACATATCATGCCAAACAAGAGACCTGAAAGAAAGAAAACAGCATCCAATTGACTTTGAGGGATTCCTTGAACTTCCGCGGAGGGTGTTCTCTGAGGCAAGCCCTGTCAAAAAGCATCTCAGTGAGATCTGCCCTCCCCAGTCAACCATCACAAGCCCCAGAAGGGGAATTAAGAGACTTTTCTCCCAGGGTTATACTTTCCTAGGCCAGGCAGAATGAGCTAGAAACCAGCCTGAAGTGTTTTCTTCTCCAGTATTCACAAAGAAAGCCGTCATGTAGAAACAACAAGAAAATGTGGAAAGAGCACTTGGTCTAGTCCAAATGAGTGTGAACTGATTCCAGTTTAACCACTTACCAAAAATCAGCTGAAGGAAAAGTTACCAGTCTCTCTGGGGTTAGGATAGTTTTTCATCTTTAAAATGGGTAAATATTTACACATTTTACCTCGTGAGTTTTGCAAATCTGGAAAAGTTTTCTGTTCTTTTCCTTTAGTGCTTTATTCATACCATCCTTATGACCTTTAGTATATGGACAAACGATTTGTTTGTTTACATTTCTGCATTAGAACCCCATAATGGCCATTAAAGTACTGCACTCTGAGGATTCATGCACAGAGCCTCTAGGATCAAAGGCGCTCACTGACCGACACAGTGGCCATGTCTTGGTTATCTTTTTAAGATGACAACTTCTTTTAAACCATCTTATACAAAAATAATTGTTTTACATATCTTTGTTTAAAAACCGTCTCCAAAGTGCATTCAATTCCCATTATAACCCTTAAACTGAATAAGAGAGAGAGAAAGAGACAGAGTTGGAAATAGATATAGACAGAGACATAGTGAAAGAAATAACAAGAAAGTGATTTTGTTTATTGTATGAAATTCTGTCTTAGCAACATCTCTAGCTTAGTTCCCAACGTGACTACTCAGTGTTATCGCGTACTGACCATATGTCAAGCACTTTACTAGATGCCAGGCCTATGTGGTCAGAACCTGATTCCTGCCCCAAAGGTTTCACATTCTAAGAAGGGACTACACATAAATTAATTTACCCAACAGTGCTTGTCATATAGTAAGTACTATGTGTTTATCATCATTATTATTTTTGTTATTTTATTTCACGTTTAGCGTGTGATATTCATGACGTTTATTATCAAGAACTGATTCTCAAAATGGTGTGAGGCTAGGAACTTTTGATGCCATAATTTTCAACTTCTCAATAAGACATAAAAATAAAGGAAACTTATAATATTAAAAACCAAATTTGATTAAGACACTTCTAAATTTGTCCCATTCTTCTTAAAGATGATAGATTAGACTGCAGAAAACAATTTTGGCCCTGATTCTGTATTGCTTCATGAATAAGAAGAACTCTACCTTCCTGGAAAAAAAGAAAAAAAGACATTTTCTACTAATGGTTGCACTCTTTCTGGGCCAGCAATGATCTGTTCAAACAGGAATCTAAGCAACCTTTCCTCATCCAGGGATTTTATTTTTTTGTGTGTGCTGACTAGAGGGTTGATTAAGCCCCCATTTCCCCAAAATCTTTATATTTCCACTAGATTGCAATCAATAGCACCTTCAAGGCAGGAAGCTTAGGGGAAACTGCTGGGGGCTCCATAGAGACCTGGAGCAAACGGCCCTACAGACAAAGCAGTCAGTGTGGGAGGAGGGAAAGCTCCACAGATGCAGCAAATGCTGTGGGTTTTCCAGCGCTACATCACCAGAGGATCAGACAGTAAACCATGGGCACAGAAGTAACTTCTATGTCAAAACAGCAAATTCATGAATATGTGCTAGAAATAGGGATTGTACTAGGAGTAATGCCCATCTACCTGCTATTTGCTCTAAATCATTATGCAAGGCAATTCAGCTCTGCAGTTAACAAACATGTGGTCAATGCAATCTCTCCTTTTTCAAGAAGGAAAAATAAAAAAGAAATAAGGGATCCATGACAAAATGTTGCCAAACAAGTGAATGAATATATTAACCTAGAAACTCAAATACAGAGTGTACTGTCTGGAAATAATTTACTTTAAGAATCAGAAAAAAGTATTTAGACACTGTTTGGCAATCTCAGTATGATGCCAAACAACATAGACTCAGTGAAGCAAATAAGTACAAGCCAAGAGAAAACAAATGAGATGGAAAAATACCAAGATAGGGTGCAATTAATAAGTTCAAATGAAGATGGATCCAGTTGTGATAATGAAGGACTATAAGGAAACTAAAAACTGATAATAGACCAAGTACTTCAATGCATAGGTTTTATCAAAGAGAAATGAAAACATGTTTACAGAAAGACTTGCATGAGAGTATTCATAGAAGTTTTATTCATGATAACTTCAACCTAAAATAACCCAGGTCCATCAATAGAAGTGGAAGTTTAAAAATCTTTGGTGTATCCACACAATGTCAGACTATTTGGCAATAAAAAGGGATGAACTACTGATACACAAAACAACATGAATCTCAGAAACACTGTGCTGTGGAAGGAATCTTTAATAAAAAGTATGTACTGTTCTTTATGGGCTGAATAATATCCCATTGTGTATATGTACCACATCTTATTTATACATTCATCTATTAACGGACACTTAGGTTGCTTCCATATCTTGGCTATTGTAAATAATGTGCCTATAAATATAAGGGTGCATATATCTTTTTGAATCAGGGATTTTGTTTTCTTCAAGTAAATTCCTAGAAGTGGAATTACTTGGTAGAATGGTATTTCTGTTTTCTAGTTTTTTGAGGAATCCAATATGAGACTGCATATCAATGATACTTCAATAAAAAGTAAATTTTAAAAAAGGGTACATACTGTGTGATTTCATTTATATGAAATTCTGGAAGAGGTAGAATTAATATATGACAGAAAATGCCAGAATAGTGGCTGCCTCTGGAGGGGAGTGGGAGCAGGGATAGGCTGGAATAAGCAAGAGAGCTTTCCATGGTGATGATGAAGATTTATGTCTTTAGTGGGTGGGTTACTCAGGTGTATGCATTTATCAAAACTCAGCAAATGTATAGTTAACATTCATCCACTTAACTGTTAGTAGATTTTACATTAAAACATTTAAACAATTATTGAATTCTAGTTAATAACATTCATGCTAAAATAATTAGGGGGACCTGTACTGATATCTGCAATTTACTTTTAAATGTATCAAATATGTGCTGGATTAATGGATGGATAGAAAGCTGGAGGGAAAGTGAAAAGGTAAATTTAGAAAAATATTAATGGAGAATCTAGGTGGTATATATATGAAAGTCCATGGTGACAGTCTTTAAACATTGCTGTATAAGAAAAATGTAAGGAGCAAAACACAATAGCAGAACTAAAATCTTGATTGTTAAGAGATTTACTTCATGGAAAACTCAAAATAACATTGAGAAATAACCTGAGTTCCTAAGTGTTCAGAGGAAAAGGACAAAGTTATAAAAATAAGAGAGAAAGTGAAGAATATAAAGAAGAAAAAAACAAATTAGAAGAACATTTAAGAATAGGGAGGTGATAATCTATTAAAATTCGGAGGTAATAACTGTAGTTATTAGAAAACCACTTCAAAATTTGAGAATCAAAAAATATTGGTCAATGGCCAGACAAATGACTTACAAAACAGAAACACACAAAAATCTGCACCTTACCACACTGATAATAAACAGTTTAGAAGATATTTGGGGGGAAACTGTCCCATTCATAATATCAATGGAAGAAGAAAAAAGGAGAAGGGGAAGAGAAAAAAGAGAAAAGAGCAGCAGAAGGGTAGAGGGGGAGAACCAAGAAGAGAGACATCAGTAATTATAATTAATATCTAGGGTAGAAATTTAATAGAAAAAATAAATGCTATTGCTATATGGAAAGTTTACAAAGATGTCAAATCTTCCCAAATACATTTTTGGGTTTAATGCAATCTCTTTGGGGTGGAAGTTGCAGCTACATGACATGCAATAGATTATTTTAAAGCTAAAATGAAAGAACAAATAAACATGAAATGCTGCAAATTTTTTTTTGAGAAAAAAAGTAACAATAGAAAAATTAAAAAATTTTAAACTAGAAGAAAATTCATAGGGTGTATTCTAACAGATATTTTAAATAAAACACTACAAATCTATAAAATAAAACATGATAATGTTAGTCCTCCAATTAATGAATAATTTAATAAAAATAAGTATGTAATATGGAACAACAATATAAACAAAATTATTTCATCAGTGAAAATATTAAAAACAAATAAAGAATACTGGGTTAATGATACTGAGAAAATTAGCTATATAAGAAAAAAATTTAGATTCTCACAAATGATAAATCAAATAATTTAAATATATGGAATATTAAATATGAAATGTGGTATTTATAATTTAGAAGGAAATACATAAATGGTTTTGAATGAGAAGAAATCTGTAAGCATAAAGAAATGATACATAATTTGATCAAATGTAAAATTATAATTTCTTCACATCAAAGATGTATTTTTAAATAATCTGGGAGACACTGCAAAATAAAAATGTCACGTCTCCTTTTATGAAGAGATTTTTACAAACAAACAAAATTTCTAATATCAATAGATACCAATACCAATAGATAAATAGAAGGCATAACTAGATTTTTAAAAATACAAGTGGTTACTTATCATTTAAAAGTGTTCAAATTTACTAAAAATATAAAATGTAAATTAAAGCAAACATTTCATATTATTTGGCCAATGAATTTGGCCAATTAAACAAAAAATATGAATACTAAATGCACAGAGAAATATGTCAACTACTCACTGATGTTACACATAAATATTAATTGGACCTTGCTGGAACTATGTTTCTCAATATTTATCAAGAACTGTCAATGAATTTGTATTTTTTCACCTGGTAATTTTCTTCTGGAAGTTTTACTAAGGAAAAAAATACAGATATATCAAAGATTTATGTATATAGGTTCCATTAAGTTATAACAATGAAAAAATAATATTAAAAAGTAGTAACAAAAATTAAAAATAGGCTATTGTGTAGAATACTGAGCACTCATTCAAAAACCATGTTTTCAAAGAATACATCAGTGACACAGGAAAATGCCAGCTATAGTATGGTAGAAAAAAACAACTAATAAGAAAATTAGATGTAATTTTATTTTAAAAGTATATATATTTTCTCAAAGTACCTATATTGCCTATAATAAGTAAATAAGAATATAATTTGTTTATACTTTAAAGGAAGTAAACTTTGTGAACCTATATATAATTCAATATAGTAAGTGCCACAGTGATTGTAAACGTAATACACAATTGTATGATTAAGGAAGGAACGATTATGCTTTGAGGCAAGGTTACTGGTTGTTTGATAATAAAGGTTTCTTTAGAAAATAATTTGGTTTTATTAGACAAGGTAACTGGCCACAGGGAATGGAACGTCTTCCCGTGGATGGGAACTAGTATCATCAGTACATGATGCAGTGAATCTAGAGTGTAGGGAGAGCGCAGGGGAGTTGAAAATAAAGTTGGTGAAAGGTAAGCTAGCAGGTCAGTCTTCCCTGGTGCCCTCCTGGTATCTTTAGAAGTTTAAGAACCTGTATGTGAGATTCCTCATGTATCTCTGTGTGCATTTTTGCCTCTAAGTGGACCTTGAATGATATGTGGGATTTTGACATGAACTACATGCATATTTCATGTTAGGAAACAGAAGATCCACTGGCTGTACCTACATAAGCCTTTACTGATCCAGGTGCTCAGCTTGTCGGAGAGATGGGGAAAACAGCTCTTGACAAAATCCTCAAAGGTCACTGTTGCTAAGGCATTGATACTGGCGGCCACGGTGCTACAGGGAGAGAAAAGCGAAAACACAGTCCAAGCTAAATAAACCTGACCAGTCTGCCCTGTTGTCTAGGGCAGATAGATGAGGCAGGACTCTAGGAAAAAAGGATACAGGCATATGGCCTTATTCTGGGACTTCAGGGAAACTACATGGCCTGTCTACTCACTCTTAAAAGCTGCTTCTTTACTTAATGCTCTTTGATTTCTTCATCAAACTCCAGTGAAGAAGCTAAGTTTTCATGATCAGTTTCCCATGAATTCCCCTTAACAAGATGTTAAAGGAGTTAGCAGGTAGTAGCAAGAGATTGTGTCTGTATGTATGTGTTTAGGTTGGATTTGGGGCAGGAAGTAGTAACTATCCCAATCCACTAGTCAGTATGATTTGCCATTCATTAATTACATATTCATTCATCCATACCGTTTACGGATCTGTTCATTCTGGGTGCTAAGCATACGAGGACAGAGACCTTACTCTCTACTTGGTGACACAGACATTTAACAACCAATTATACAACCAGTTACAATTGTTATGAAGGAAATAACAAGGTGTTATACAAGTATATCTTTCAGAGACATAAAGTGATATGAAGTTAGGGAATTCTTTCCTTAGGAAGTGATGGCTAAGATAGGCACTGACATGACCCATGCAAATTGGGAGTAATGTTCCAGAACTAAGGGAAAATTACATTTAAATGCTTCGAGATGGAAAGCTTCATTAAACAACCTGAAGCCACCAGAGTGGTTAGAATGCTTTTAGTAAGAGAGAAAGGGGCAAAGCTTAGACTGGAAAACAAAGACCAAACCCGTGTAAGAGATTTAACATTCTCTCTCTGACTTTCCAGTCAGAGTGCAGCCTTACTGCCCTAAAACTTGCTTTGGTGACAAAGGATCCAGATATCATGGAATAATTTGCTGAATAGCAGGAAAGCTTATTTAATCCCTTATGTAGATGAGGAACATATTGGCTAACAGAGAAGATAACTACAGTAAATTCATGTAATGCAAAATCACAACCACAAACAAAAGTTCTGGAAAAGAAATAAGCTGATGAGCAAACTCGGGCAGGCTGTTGTAAGTTTTCCATTGATACTCATTAGATAATTATTTTATTAGCCTCGATGTTCATTTGAATACAAGCTAAAGCTTACTTTTTAATGCCAACAGCATTAAAGGAAATTCAAATTTTTTCTGTTTTCTGTAATGCAGAATAATAGTGCCATTAATTTTAACTATAGGTTATTTCAGTTGGAATGGTTCCAGGTCCATTGTGTGCAAAATTTATAAGTTCTTTCCTTGAACAGATACAGCAGGTAGAAACTTCCCAAGACCTATATCTGGGAATTGAAATTTGGCATACTTTGGAGTACCATCCTCATTTTAGTAAGGATTTTCCACTGGAGTACCAGCCTCATTCTCCCAAAAGCAACATGGTGTGTGTTCCCTGTCAGTTCCCTTCTATCTGTAGCTCCTTGAAAATCAAATAAGGAAACAAGATGATTAAATTAAGGAAGTTTACGTGTTCCCAACAGCTTTCTCTAAAAATATATCATCAGAAAGTCTCAAACATTAAGGTTAACCCTTGAATCCTTTGGGAGGGAAAGAGCAAAACCCTGAATTTGGCCCCAAAGGATCAGGTTTGTGGAACTTGGGCTGAGCTGCTTTTGCAGTCAGGTGTATCACCTGTGTGTCAGTTTCTCAGATTCTAAAGCTTCTTCAAAGGGAATCTTTTTTCTCCCTACCCTTCAACCACTATCTCTTTATTCTACCCCCATTCCTGTCTTTCTCTTTCCCCACTGGACACCCTTCTTAAGGTTGTAGAATAAGTAATCTCTGTAACACATACTGTCCAGTTTGTCCCTTTTGTGAAATTCTTGGACTTGAGATCCAAAGAGTTAACCATTCTATTATGGGGAATTACTTATTGAAAGCCATACTTCTTTTGTCTGGTGAGAATCAGCCTTAGAATAAGAGAAAAATAAATAAATAAAGGTCTGTAATGAGGGACAAAATCAAATCTACACTGTCATCCCTGCTGGTGTTTGATCCTCCAGTGCTCATTGTTTCTGTCCTCAGTTTCCTTGAGATCCTAATATCAGCCCCACAGAACAAAATCACTTTGTGCTATTGATGCAAAATCTCAAAAAGGAATATTAGCAAAAATAATTCAGCAGTACACTAAAACAAAAGCAAGTTGCAGTTCATATGAATTCAAGGATATTACTTTTTTAGAAAAATGTAAATATATTAATTAGCAAAAGTTTTAAGAAAAACATCCATTTTAAAAATACCAAAATTTTATCAAAGTTTGGTATCTCTCCCGATAAAAATCTTCCCTAAAAGTAGAATAACTATATGCATTTCTATTCTTTTTTTACAATTTTATTAATTTCATATGAATATCCTTAAATGTTAATAATGTGTTGTGAACCAAACTTGATATATATGATGGTAAAATCCAAGAACTATTCCCTTTAAGTACATAACAAAACAAGGATATTTTCTGTCCCTCAATTACTTATCATTTCTCTAGAGCACAATTATATAAGAGAAAGAACATAGAAGTGTAACTACTAGAAAAGAGAAAAACTCAAAAGTATTTGTAGATATCATGATTTTAGAGCAATCAAATCCCAAATAATTATCTGAAAGTAGTTAGGAGAAACAATAGATATCAAGGGAAATTCTTTAAAAGAAAGGGTATTGAAGAAATATCACCCTAACAGATACTAAGTCATTTTAATTCAATCATTCAAATTATTAGTATTGGCACAGCTGTAGACAAACAGACCAGCAGAATGTAAGAGAACCCAGAAAAATCCCCAATCCATTGAAAAATGTAAGATGTGATAAAAATAACATTTCAAGCAGGTGATGAAAAGATAGCTTTTTTACTAAAAAAATAATGGGACAATTGTCTACTAAGTTAGAAGGGAAATAAGGTAGGAGCTCTACTTTGTCCCTTATACCACAAGCATACTCTGGATGGTTTAATGGTTTTAACATTTAATAAGACCATAAATATACTAGAATGGTGTCTGGAGGATTATTTATAATGATGGAAGGAAGAAGCCTTTGTGAGAATATTAACTCAAAAAACATAATGGGAAAGAATTGAGTACCATAAATTAACATCTCCACCTATTAAAAAATACCATTAATTAAAAAAACACACAAAGGACAAATGAGAAAAATGAAACCAATGTCAACAGGCTGTTTTTCTTGTATATAAAGAGGAAAACTAAAAAAAGCAAAAAAATACAGAACATGAGGCATTTTAAAGAAAAAGAAATACAAATGGCCAGTGAATGTAGGAAAGGTAGCCAATCCCATTTATGATCAAAGCAATTCATATGAAAATCAGTTACCATTTTTTTTACCTAACAGATTAGTAATTAAAAGTTTGATAGTATCCAATACTGTTGGTGTGTGGAGAAAAAGGCACTTTAGTGTTTTCAGTGTATAAACTGGTACAAACTTTTGGAGGTCAATTTAACAATGTCCATGAAAATTTCAAATGATTATGTATTTTGACAAGGTAATTCCACTTCTTAGAATGTAGCCTACATAATATCCTTTCACAATTTCACAAAGATACACATTGTACTGTGCTGTGAACTGAGTGTTTGTGTCCCCCTAAAACTCACATGAAGCCTAGTCCCCAGTGTGGTGTATTTGGAAGTGGAGCCTTTGGGAGGTGCTTAGGTCCTGAGGGTAGAGCTCTCACGAATGGGATCAGTGATGTTCCAAGAGCGACTCCAGAGAAATACCTTGCCTGTCCTCTATGTGAGGGCACAACAAGAAGACAGTCACATATGAAATAGGAATTGGGCCCTCACCAGACATTGAATCTGCTAGCATCTTGCTCTTGGACTTCCTAGCCTTGATATCTTTGAGAAATAAATCTCTGTTTTTCTTAAACAATATAGTCTATGATATTCTGTTAGAGAGCCTGAACAGACTAAGATAAAGCATTGTTAGTTATACCTTACATTAAAAAGTTGGTCAAATAAATTCCAGTAGATAAAAAAAAGAATAAGGTAGATATACTGATGTGGAAAGATTTCTAAATTACATTATCTTTAAAAAATGAAAGATGGAAAGCTTCATTAAACAACCTGAAGCCACCAGAGTGGTTAGAATGCTTTTAGTAAGAGAGAAAGGGGCAAAGCTTAGACTGGAAAACAAAGACCAAACCCGTGTAAGAGATTTAACATTCTCTCTCTGACTTTACAGTCAGAGTGCAGCCTTACTGCCCTAAAACTTGCTTTGGTGACAAAGGATCCAGATATCATGGAATAATTTGCTGAATAGCAGGAAAGCTTATTTAATCCCTTATGTAGATGAGGAACATATTGGCTAACAGAGAAGATAACTACAGTAAATTCATGTAATGCAAAATCACAACCACAAACAAAAGTTCTGGAAAAGAAATAAGCTGATGAGCAAACTCGGGCAGGCTGTTGTAAGTTTTCCATTGATACTCATTAGATAATTATTTTATTAGCCTCGATGTTCATTTGAATACAAGCTAAAGCTTACTTTTTAATGCCAACAGCATTAAAGGAAATTCAAATTTTTTCTGTTTTCTGTAATGCAGAATAATAGTGCCATTAATTTTAACTATAGGTTATTTCAGTTGGAATGGTTCCAGGTCCATTGTGTGCAAAATTTATAAGTTCTTTCCTTGAACAGATACAGCAGGTAGAAACTTCCCAAGACCTATATCTGGGAATTGAAATTTGGCATACTTTGGAGTACCATCCTCATTTTAGTAAGGATTTTCCACTGGAGTACCAGCCTCATTCTCCCAAAAGCAACATGGTGTGTGTTCCCTGTCAGTTCCCTTCTATCTGTAGCTCCTTGAAAATCAAATAAGGAAACAAGATGATTAAATTAAGGAAGTTTACGTGTTCCCAACAGCTTTCTCTAAAAATATATCATCAGAAAGTCTCAAACATTAAGGTTAACCCTTGAATCCTTTGGGAGGGAAAGAGCAAAACCCTGAATTTGGCCCCAAAGGATCAGGTTTGTGGAACTTGGGCTGAGCTGCTTTTGCAGTCAGGTGTATC